TGTACATTTGTATAAACAGTAGCAGGCTAGTCTTGCAAATAAAAATCAAGCTTTAAAAATTCAGCTCTCAGGATACTCTCAATCTTCACACTTTACAAAATATTACTGTTTGGCTTGAGCTCCAAGACTTTTTTGACTCTTCTGTCTTACCTCAATGTCTTTCTAGTTATCTGTTATAAGGCACATATATGTTATAAGGCACATCTATAAGATATTGTAGATGTGCAGAGACTGTTAGAGAGCAGTTGTAAATAAACCTGTCATGTGTGTTCTACTCTTTAAAATTAAATTAACTATTTAAGTTAATTAAAGAGGCTATCTGTTCTTTGTAGAGCTATACTTGTCATAAGGCTAAAATGGCAGTCATTTGTTTTTCTCTGTGCACTGTGAAATCCAAGTATTCTGTGATACGTCCATGAATTTGTATTGCCAAAATGTTGAACAGAGGTTTGTTATGGCATGGTGTTTTGCAGTTTCTGTGCTTCAGTTGTAGTATCTTGCTTGTTTTCCAAGTGATTTTTAAATGACTTTTAAGTGTGCTTTCTTATTATGTAAATAAACTATCTTCTCATTCTTGGCTTCAGAAATGGCATATCATTGCCATACAGCTCAAGCAGTACAAATTTATCATCTTTTCTTTATTATCCAACTCACTAGTTTTGAAGTAACTTTCAGAGCTAAATGCTTTGATGTTATAATATTCTATTCATCTAATGAAGCCAAGCAAGATCAGCATTTGCATGTCCCACTTAATTTCTTCATACTTTCTGGTTTGGGGAGTGAGTCTGTTTGTTTTTGTTATCTTTGAAATGTAAAACTATTGCTATTTTTTGTGAAGTTTGCCAGTAGATGCTTTATCAGCTCTTGTCTAAGGACTACTTCATGCTTCAACATGATCTTCTGGAAGTTGTACTGAGTGGATGTTTGGCTTAAAAGTAACTGTTCAAAGTGATAAACTGTGTAACTAATTTACACTGTATACATTTTCTAAAATTTACATTGCCTTTTGGAAAAAGGGAACAAATGAAACCTCTTATTTGTTTCTTATGTCCCAGTAAAATAGGTCTGTAAATATACTTGCAAATCTGGTACACTTTAATCTGAGAGACTAAATACAAGCTGGAGAATTTCTTCAAAAGCGTACTTGCATTTCTGCTTATTGCAGACAGAATTATACATTGCTTTCAAATTACAAATAAGATGAACTGAAGATGAATAAAAAATTAAATGTTTGTATTGATGGCATTTTCGTGGCAGTTTTCCGTGAATTGCCTGTCTGATTTCCGTATTATACTTTTTATTAGTTGCTGATCATTAAGCTATAATGATGTAATGTGAGTTGTCTGCATGCTTTCAAAAGAACCTGCTTCAGTTGGAGAAAATTCTTTGGTAATATTTGTAATAATATTAGACTTTCTCCTAATGCAGTGTCAGGTTTTACTTATTGAACAGAAAGCACCATAGCCCGATGTGTTCTGGCTGTTCAGAAACATTTTCTGCCGTCTACCTTTACAGGTCCGATTCGTGAAGAATGTGACTTCCTGGAAGGAAATGAAACCAGGATTTTACCATGGACATGTTTCCTATTTGGATTTTGCAAAGTATGTTGCCCGTGGATTTATTTGTTGAGTAGTATAGGAGTTTTAAATATGCTGCTGCTTGGGTCCATATGGGATATTACTGCCCTCTAGTGATAACAATCCGACAGTTTCTGCTAAGAAAAATTCCACTACTGGATTTTCCCTTCAGATGAGTGGTATTTAGTTTCACTTTTCAGTGGAGTTTTGTCATGACTTTTTGCATAACAAGGTGGAGATTACAAGATTAGTATTCTGTGGCTGAATTACAAGATTCCTCTACCTGAATATTCCTTTTTCTTTTTATTGCACACTCATTGTTAGTCATTGGCTTTTCTGTCTGGAGTCTTAGCTCAAATACGCTGCATCTAAAGTCATACCACCTATCTCTTATGTAGTTCTTCACTTTAAGAATATCTCTTTATGCTTTATCAAAATACTACAAGTTATTTTAAAAGACTTTTCTGACTTACTATTCATTTGACTGGCAGTTAAGCGCACAAAACTCGGACTACATCCTCCGTAGTTCAGCATTGTGAAACCTTCCCATTCTGTTGTATGTGCTAATTTTAGCTTTCTATTTTAAAGAATTAAAAGAAGAAGTGAGAATTTTATAGATTTCCAGAGTAGATTATGTAAACCAGAAGTTTCCAATGGCACTAAGTAACAGACAAAAGATCCTAATTGCAAATAAGTAAACAAACGTATCAAATTTTATCAGCTTCCCATCTGCTTTTTAAAGTTAAAATGCTGCATTAATAAACCACTGAACTGAACCCCTGTTGGAATAACAGCTCTCTGGAACAGCCAAGATGAATGTTATTTTATACATTATTCATTTTATAAAGCTGAAAATATTTTTGCACAGTGGAACTTTTTAAACTAATACAATTATTTTGCTTCTACAAAGGCATCTAAGCAATTTTACAGGTTTCACTCATCTGCATACTTCCCTTTAGGGCTGTTTTATCCTTGTGTTTGTTATCCTTTTGCCTAAATGACTTATTTTTTCCTTGCAGCAGCTTATTTTTTGTCATACTTGTGGTTTTCATTATTAAAGTAATATATTGCATGCTCTGGTTGCATTTGGCATGACCTACTGTTTGAGCTGTGAGGTCAAACACAACCTGCTTGAAGTGAATATTCTTGTAGTTCTGAAGTGTAAAATATTTTATAAAAGTCTATTCCTGCTTGTTATATGCAGATATCAGACTTAGAATCACTGTGATATATGATAAATGTTTTTTAAATTATGCTCAGACTAGAAATACTGAATTCAATCAGTGAGCTATGGCATGAAAGGCAGGTTACAACAGTCCATCAACCTAGAAATAGCAGTAAAAAATTTGATTTCCTCTCCTCCTATCTCCTCCCCATTTCTGATCCACCTTCATTTCATAATCTTCTCATTCATGATCATTTGGAAAAAAAATCTTCATCTGACATAATGCAATTGCTGAATCATTATGGTTGCATTATTCCAACAAGTGATTTATATTATCATAATTGAAGCTAGTGGTGTGAGCTAGTATGCAATTCCACATGAATATACAACCCTGCACAAATATTTCAAGGGCTTTATGTTTCCTTAACCCACAGATACATATTGAGGCTCTGACTATTTCTAAATGATTTGTTACAGCTTTCTGCTGCACTTACTGTAGTGTCTGTAGAAGGGGGCACATTTCAGTGAGCCTGAAAGGCGGTGTATACAGCTCTGAGGTTCTGGACCTTGTGTCAAAATGATTCGAGTATTCAGGAACTCCATTTGAAGCCTTTTGAGGGTAACAGCTGTCACAGAGGCAGCTGAGAGCCGTGACTTTTAACTGCTATAGTAACAGCTGTCACAGAGGCAGCTGAGAGCAATGACTGTAACTGCTATAGCGTGAGTAACTGCAGCTCTAACACCTCAACACTCACTTGTTTCTTATCCGACTTTGATACCTGTAGTGCAGGTCTTTTGCCAAAGTAATACCTTTTAAGTACATTTTGCTCAACTTCCTCATTCCTTTTTTTTTTTGCTGTTTAGCTTATTTATTATGTTTCTCTTCTTTACTTTTTTTAACCAAAGATTCCTCATGAGCAGTACATGGTATTATAAATTAGCAAATGCTACTTGAGCAATAGCCATATTGCATCTTGAAACCATGAGCACTCCATTTTAGCTCAGCTAGGAGGCTTAGTCTTCTGTCAATTCAGGACTCTTTCACAGTTTGACTGCATGTAAACCTAAGAGATCTTTATTATTATTATTTTATTATGATTCATTTCTGTTTTCAGGGTTCTCCATGTTATTGCAGTAATCTCCATTGTGATATCCTGCCTTTAATTTTTGAATGCCGTATTTATTAATTTGCCACAAAAATGTCTCAAAGGGAGCAGGAAAAAACCCCTCAAATCTATTGCAAAAGCTGCCTTAAGCATGAACCATTGAAAGGCAGCATTTGTACAGAACAGTTTTAGCTGCTTAAGTCTTTCATGTGTGTTCTGTGAGCTTATCAAAACGTTTTTTTAATCAGGCTTCCAGTTTGCACCACAGTAAATTGATGTTTCCTTAGGTAAATGTCTAAGGAGAAATTGCTGACCTGCAAAGTGCCTAAACCTAAGTGTTTTACACATTTAGATAGACAAATGAGTATGGTCCCAGATATTGTGTCATGGTCAGCACACACAGTCATGGTGGAGCAGTGCAAGAGCTGAGTGTGCCCCGAGCTTGGGCTTCCTTGTGCTTCGTGCCTGACTTCTGGGGACCTGGCAGGAAAGGCACGTGCCACCCTGCAGAGCACAGCGTTGGGAGCGGGACACTGCGCGTTCTGGGTACCCCCTTGGTGTCAGTAAGTGCCTGCTAAACTGTTGAAGACGTTTCTATGGTCAGGAGAATTGTTTCAGCACTGCTTGTATCCATTGTGTGACATACAGTTTACACACAAGCAGAATGTTTTAAGCACATGCTGATATTTTGTTTCCCTAAACAAAAAAAACAGTGCTAGAAATACTGAGTTTGAACTGACTTACCCAGTTCATTGCATGGATGCATATGGCAGTGCATTAAAGCAGGCAGTAGCCTTCTTCCCACCAACAACAACTTTAGTTTTAGAGATAGGTGTGAGAGTACTGGATGAGCAACTCTGATTTGACCTTGATTTGTGTGTGTGTTCCTCCCCCCCCACACCCTTTTATTTTAGATTTGGTGTTAAAAAGAAACCAATTTACATAAACGTCATAAGAGATCCTATAGAACGACTGGTTTCTTACTACTACTTTTTGCGCTTTGGAGATGATTACAGACCAGGGCTGCGAAGGCGAAAACAGGGGGATAAAAAGGTAAAGTAGACTTTGTTTTATGTGCTGTTCTTGGTGAAGGTAATGCTAAAACAATTTTTAAAATATGTCCTGATAAAAACTGAATAGTTCTTGTATCAGTACTCATGATGATGGTGACTTCATAGGTGATATTCTTGGCTTGGTGTCAGTACTGGACCAAAATTAAATATGAACTCTGTCTCTTTTGTAACTGCATAAATTAATTTTATGTTTTAAAAAATTGTTTAAAATATCTTTTTTTATATACTGAAGATGTCAGTATCCAGCTAAGCTTATCATTCTGTGTTTGGAATCTGTATTTGTGTTGAAAACTAAGGTGTTTACACCAAATCCTCTAAGATTGCTGATGTTTTAGCTTTTATATCTGCTTTATTTATTAACCCACCTTCTTTCATTTTCTTAAATATAAATATTGCGATGTGACTATAACATATGAAGCGTCTTGAAAACAATGGAATATGAATGATTAACTTCTGTGCTTCTTGTATAAGTTAAGGAGTTTACGCGTAGTTGAGTTTACCCTGTTATACCCTTGTAACACTACAGTTTCAGAGCTGCAACCTCATCTGAGTACTATAATATATTCATTTTAGGGGGTACACATTCATTGTAATGGTTTCCAGTAAGATATTCACTGTTGCTTAAATCAAGAAGAAAAGTAGGGTATTGTGTATATAAGTAGAGTTTAAATGAGTTTAGTTGATGCAGAATTTTAGAACAATAAGGGTTTTTTGTTCTTAACAGAAGTAAAAACACTATTCTTAAATTTCAATAGAAATATGTTTTCTTAAACTCTTTCATTTAAAAAATATTTGAAACTTAACATAACATTGTGCTAATAGCAAGAGACAATAAAAATTTAGGTACAAAAATCACACCAAATGCATCTTGTGCAAGTCTATAAACAACACCATAATGAGTAAAAAATTGGCTAATGATTTTCCCCTTTGCCTCCCCGCCCCACCACCTCCCCAAAAGGGTGATTTTTTTTTTTCAAATACCCAAAAGAGACCATTTTCTCTTCTCCACGGCTTATACCCTTCTGTGTTAGTGAGGTTTTGGCGCCATCTTCTGCTCCTGCACTCCAGCTTATCCAGATGTCCTCCTGTTGAGGTAGAGGAAAACTTCAAGCAGAGCAGTACCTGAGAATGTGGGTAAACACCTCTCTCCACAGACTGGCTACAGAGCTGATGTGATGCAGTGGGTACCGTAAAGGCAGAGATTTTTCCTTTGGTGACTTATGCCATCCTTTTTCATGAAGAGCTTTACCTGGCCAGTGGAATTCTCTTCAGTTAGGGATCTCAGCAGGCTTCTAAGTCCAAGCTGTTTATAGGGCTTACTATTTAAATAATAATAAAAAGTGCCATTTCAATTTTCAGTATAATCTGGACAGACTTGTTAGATAATTACGGGGAAGTATTAAGCCAAAACAAACCAGTGCTGCTGCTCAGTAGATAGCACTTTAGGTAGTAGCTCTAATTTCCTGGAAGAAGTTGAAATTCATTCCAATTTATAGTGTCTTAATGCATTGCATTAATAATTTAATGTTTCTGTATTTATTGTGTTTTTCTATAAAATTGTTTCTATCTAGATGGTGTCTTGTAGCACTCACTCGAGACTGCGTTATACTAGGTACCACAACAGTGCTTTGAATAAAAAGCAGGGAAGGTAAAATATTGCAATCTTATGAAAAAAAAATCAGTTTTGCCCTTACTGAATGGAGCGGAATCTCGATGTTCCTTCTACCCATATGCCTACACCCATACTATAGTGCATTTGTGGAAGAGTACCTTTTTCCTAGTCTATGTCTCTACTCTCGAAGTTACAGACAACTTTGCTCCAAGAACAGGATCTGTAAAGACAAAGAGTTTTTTGTATTAAAAAAATGCAGCCAAAATCCCTGGATGGAGCCATTGAGATACCTGTGGTAGAGGAAATGGGGAAGAAAACTTGTTCCATTTCATCTTACATGGAAAATCACTTCCTTTTTTAGGTGCTCTATCTGTAAATTTCCCTCACGGAAGTCTTTTCTTTGACAAATATCCATTTATATTAGTGCATATTTTTATAAATTAAGAGTAACTATAAATATAGCCACATACATTCAGAACAACTTAGGTCTTAGGTAAATGTTGATGCCATAAAATACTCATGGTGGACCAGTGTAGAATTTCTCTAGAGAGCTACAGAAACTAGACATTTGTAGGCTGTGTGATCTGTATAGCTGGGTTAAGTAACATGAGCTACAGTAAAAGTGTAGTGTGGAACAAGATACCATGACTTAATCCCTGCATTGACCCTGTTATCTACATTTTTCAGCATATCTCAGGAATAATTCATCTTATCAGGAATAGAAACCAATCCTGTTGTCCTTGGTCTAACACGGAATAATTAGACAAATATATTTTCACTTTGGTTTGAACAGAAGCTTTTTAGAATGTCTTCTGTGTAATTAGAAGTTGTCTTTTAGGTTGAATGCCATTAAGCTGGATAAAATATTTGTAAATTCTGTTCCATGCTAGAGGAGGTCTTACTGTTACTGTATCACTGCAGTTGAAACTGTGTGTCACTGCAGCTATCTGTGCACGTAGAATGACGTTTTATGGAATAGCCTGCTAGTGAACTTGCTTTTCTGTCTACTGACTGGAAGCCAAAAACAAATTAGCCTCTGAAATGGTATTTCTTTGTTGTAATATTTAAAAGGTAGTAGAAACTTGATTTATCCAGAACAAAATGCATAATGTTCTTTGGGAAAGATCCAGTTGTCCCAGTACTGCACAAGTGTTAATGGCATTTGACACTGTGGGTAGTGATGACCACTCTTTTTAAGGCAAGAACAATGATACCAGCACTCTTTGACTATCTTTTTCTTATTTTAATATAACCCTTGTCTAAGATGAAACTGTAGGTTAGTTTTTGCCATAAAGGACTAAGTACTATTTTAGTTAAGACAAATAGGTTCTTCTAATAAAACCTTGTGAAGACAAAGCTTGAAAAAAGTACCTTTTTTTTCTCACATCGTGCATTTTTCTGTTCTCACTACATTTAACAACGAACCAGGTTAAGATGTTGGATACGTAAGTTGGACTTCAAAGCTCAGCTCCATTTTGTCTATGTTGCAGACCTTTGATGAATGTGTAGCGGCCGGAGGCTCGGACTGTGCTCCAGAGAAACTTTGGCTTCAAATTCCATTCTTCTGTGGCCACAGCTCAGAATGCTGGTAGGGAGAGAGGTTTGGGTTAAATTGTTAAATTTACGTCTCGGTAATAATATACTCTATTAACAAGTGTGAGAGCCTGAATGAAAGGCAGCAGCCAGTGCTTTACTAATAAGTATTTTTGGGAGATTGGTTTGAAAAACACTGTATTGAAGCAGTCTCACAGTTGTTTAGCCAGGCAGTACAGCAGGGTGCTGCGCACGTGTGCGGAGAGTGCTCTGAGAGAAAACAGGTGCTTTCACTTTTAAAAATATTTTTTGTGGATTCAGAGTCTTGACATTTTTTTGTTAAGACAGGCTATGATATTTGTCTGAATGGAGATATTTCATTGAAGCTCCTACAGTTTCTGGGGCAAATAAAATATTTGAGATCAGGATAAGTTCATCTTAAACTTTCATCAGATAAGCAGTAATTAAATTAAGCATAAACAAAGCAAATGATCACTTGGGAGCTTCTGTTTCAGACCTACTCACACCTGGGCTAGGCGGAGAAGCAGAGAACTCTGAATGCATCTCCTCACCCTGTCTAAAGCTATTAAAAAGCAGAAGAAAAATTTCTATATTTCTTTGATCAGGGCAGTCTTCCCAAGTACAATGACTTCATAACATGGAATTATTCTTGTAGGGGACACAAGAAGAAAATGTAGTCTCACCAGCACCCTTTCAGATATCTAATATGAAAGCAGAGAATCTCAGAATGGACACAGAGAAAACATACCCTCCAGAAACTGCATTAATAAAGGCAGGAATCATATACATGTAACCATAAGTGCTACTTTTGTTTGTTTTGTCAATAAGTTACTAATACAAAGTGGCTTTGAGTAGCCTTGAAGAGACAAGATATTAGATACAAATACAAATGACAGAAATTGGAGTAGTAAGCTAATCTAGAAACAGTTATAACTTAAAAAGAACCTTGACTTTTTTATGCAAGGGTCATGTTGCAAAGTAATCTCTGTCCAGGGAGCAAGGTTTGTTGACTGACATCAGAATTTACTTTAATTGTCCTCTCTCACTTTAGGAATGTGGGAAGCAGATGGGCTTTGGACCAAGCCAAGTACAATCTAATTAATGAGTACTTCCTAGTAGGAGTTACTGAAGAGCTTGAAGACTTTATCATGTTACTGGAGGCTGCGTTGCCCCGGTTCTTCAGGGGTGCTACAGAGCTGTATCGAACAGGTACCTAAATAGCCGATCTCTGCTAACCTTTTTCCTCTTCATCCACATCTTTTAAAGTGAGTTCTGTATACCTAGATGGCTAGTTCTGAGTCTTTGCCAAATTTGCCTGTCAGGTGACTGAGATTATTGTGGAAGGAACAAGCTCTCTAAAGGAGTCTTCATACCAATTTTGGAGGGCAGCCCAAGGATGTTATTGTCCTCCAAAAATTGCAGACTTCTAAGGCTGTGGCAAAGGCAGGTATGCCACACTTACATTTTGAGCTTATGGTATATGTTCAGCAAATTGGACTGGTCTTTATCAAAACGCTTTAGAAAATTATGTTAAGGGCTACAGTTCTGTATAGTGGCTGATAGTGGGTAGATTTCTTTTCCTTCTGAAACACTGCTTGCTAAAAAAAAAAAAAAAAAAAAAGCTTGGCTGTGCAAAATCAATTTTGATTGCTCAGCTTGTCTGCACTTGCAGGCACTTCAGTGCCTGCACAAAATTTAAGTCTTGGGATGATGGGATGGAGGAGAGAGGAGGTCTTCTCATGAAGGGAATGGTGTTTTTTGTAGAACTGTGGGGATTGTAGTGATTTAGGGGCAGACAGAAGGATCTACATCTGCTCTCTAACAGTGGCCAATGGCAGGTGTCAGCAAAAGCGTGTAGGTGTAGGGCAAGCATATGGGAGTCAGAACTGTGCTGATGCAGGTCCCAAGAGTGAATGAAGTACACTTTCATGGATAACTTCTAATTTTCTTCCATTCCTCGACTTTTAAAAATTTTGCATAAAATTGCCACAGCATCCTATGCTAAGAAGTTCCACAGTGAAGTTGAAAAAAGCATATATTCCAGTATGAAAATAACGTGCTTCTGTCTTGAGCCTGTCATCCAGTTTCATTTAAGTACCCTGATTCTTCTACTAAGAATTTGAGAACATTAAATTTCAATCAATCTTTTTCAAGCTACTGTTATCTTACAGACTGCATTATGTTCACCTTTTATCACTTGTTTTCTGGGCAATGGAATCTCTGATCACCCTTACTGCCTTTCTCTGTTCCTTTTCTAGCACCCAGGGCGCTGTCCTTTGCGCCTTTGCGCATTCAGGTTCACTGTGGGCTTATTTGGTGATATTATGTTATTTTCTGTTTTCTTATTTTCACTTCCTTTCCTGCAGATGTTTGCTGGTTTGCCTGTAATAGCTGCCAAGAAATTATTTTTCAAAGATAGAAGTCTTCCCTTCTCCTACAAGCATACAATTTCAGTATGCTAAATCTAAATGCTACCTTTGTAGGCGAAAAGGTCTGCAAGTGTGTTACCTTGGAGGCACATTAAAATTGTTATGAGACATGCAACCTTGTAGTTTTTTTTAGCTTGGAGGTTTTGTCTTTGTTCAACAAAAGTCCAGTTTTCTTGCTTCCTACACTTCAGTGAAGACCTCTGAGAGGTCTTCTGTCTTCTACAAACCATTGGATTATTTGGGATCCCAAGGTCCACGTACATGGCTATCATTCTGGGCTCATAACATATCTGTCATATAAATAGTAGCTCAATTTCTAGGAGCTGGATATGCAACCTGTGATGAGGCTAAGGTCCTTCATAGTAGCAAAGTTCTATCTGCAAGCAGGAGAAATGGGGCTGATGTATGAAGGCTACATATGTAATGCTGACACGTTTGGTATAAAAGCACTAGGTATCATGCCTTAGGAAGAGAAGATGTTGTCATCCCTTGGGTTGTCTGTATCTTGTGAAAGAAGTTGCCGGTCCTGCAGTTTATAAAATTCTTAACATTTAATATCCAGATTAACATCTAAATAATTAATTTTGAAAGAGCAGTCTAACTCCAAGTACATTATGTGAAGTAATTTGTTCCTTAAATGAAGTGTTCATTCTGTGGGTTTATTAGAATAAGGAGGAAGAATTGCAAGAACTGATGCAAAATGCATTAACATTTCGTGAGAGAGACTGCAGTTTTCCAATCCCACATGTTACATTAATAAATTTCAGATTAAGTTCTGTCACTTTTAATGCAATTTATCAGAATGCTGAAAGTAAGAAAAAAATAAATAAAAGAATTGCACATGTTTTTTAATCACATGAACTTTAAAATGAAATTATTGTTTTCATTTTATATTCAGGAAAGAAGTCTCATCTTAGGAAAACAACCGAGAAAAAACTTCCCACAAAAGAAACTATTGCCAAGCTACAACAGTCTGAAATCTGGAAAATGGAGAACGAGTTCTATGAATTTGCACTGGAGCAATTTCAGTTTGTCAGAGCACATGCAGTTCGGGAAAAAGATGGCGAGTTGTATATTCTGGCTCAAAACTTTTTCTATGAAAAGATTTATCCTAAATCAATCTAAGAACACACTACTGTTAGCTCAATGGACCTAAACCTGTGGTCGCATCATCATCTTAGTCCTCAGCTCTGGAAGCTAAATTGCTGTAGGCCTCCAAGACATTTCTCTATAGATCGAAGGGGGCTATGGACCACGTCCAGGGAGTTGGATACTGATTAACTATGTTGGTAATCCAGAAGCAAAAGCTTCCTTTTATCAAACTAATATTTTCAGTGGAAGTTAATACCCCTTACCTGAAGAAAACTACACCTTAATTTGCAGCAATTAACCACACAGCAGTTCTAGTTGAAAATATAAACAAACAAAAATGCTTCTCTTAATGCTCTTTTTAAGTTTTGGAGCAATTTATTTTCTTTTATACTTCTATGAAGAGGAAATCATTTTTCCCAGCTTTCAACATGGAAATTTTGGTTGTATACAATGAGTAGTGTTAATAACTGGTTGACATCTATGCTTTGTTTTTGAAAATGTCATGTTACATGATATTAATTGTGATGGTTAATCATGTTTTGCTGAGAAATGCTGCTGCTGCTGGAATTGCCCGTGTTTATATATATGTGGTTTTATTAGAAAGCTACAACTGATCATTAGTGTTAAAACATCATTTGCACAGTAGTATTGTAAAAAGTTAAAAGAAATAGTTTTTGTTTTCATTATCCCCATGACCACTGACTGAGGTTGGGAAAACTCTACAAAGAAAGTTGGGATTGTCTGTGGTTTTAGTTGGTGCTTACTCATCAACATAAAGATAGCAAATTCAGTACCAAGTTTCTCCATGGATTCTTTTTAATAATTGTAAGCTGAGATATTGGTGAATCCATATTATGACTCCATTAGTGAGCTGTGGTATGGTTAGGGTTTTCCTACTTCTACTCTACTTTTACCTGTAGAATATTTTTACTAAGGTGCTTTATAATGTGTTTTAAAGCATTGCATTTACAAAAGAAAAATGCTGTAAATATTGCTTATTTTACGTATTTGGACCAAAAGGTTTAAAGTAACTAGTTTAAAGTGTTTTTTGCTCCACTTTTGTTACATGTGAAGTAAGAAAACATCACATCAACTTCCTGGTTGAGTTAGCTGTCGGACATGGCTGAAATGCACTTCAGTGACCTCAGTGACTTTATACTAGAATACTGTCCAGGGATTCTCTTTACAGAAATGTAGTCATCATCCTTTTATTATCTTAAGAGGAAAAGAAGAAAAATGTGTAGTCTGATTGAGAAAGATGCAGTGAGCTTGACATAATTGTATTTATGTAACTGCCTTATGTGACTATTGTAAATTTGTGAGTTGCCATTATTAACAATGTGAAACACCTGGTAGATTAAGTAAATTGCGATTTGAGAACAGATGTTTGGAGCCACTGCCTTATAGCAGCTGGCAGTGGAGAACTCCAAGAATTTGTTTCCTATTGAATTTTCTTCAGGATCTGAGTAGTTACACATCTTACACCTGCCTTTCTTAAAGTGCTTTTCACAAGGTTTGATGCGGGGGAAGTCACTGAAGAGACCAAGTAAAGAATGCTGGTAAAGGCTTAAATTCCTAAGGAATGATGTTGAAGGCTTAGTTTAAAATTGCCAAGTGGAATTTCTTTAACTAGTTCGTTCTTGTAATGAAAACAGAGGAAATGGGAAATGGTCTGTGAACTGGATGTTTGCAGCCAAAAGCAACAGTCCAGTTACAGACAGGATAATGAGAGACTATCAAGTACATCTTGCGTTTTCTTTGGGTTTTTTGACCTGCCTCTTTGAATTTTAAAAATAGATCTTGCTCTGTTCTTCTTGAATAATCAGGGAATTTCCTTCTGGTAGCTCACTGTTTATATAGCATGGACCACGCATTAGATTTCCTGTTCTCTTTTTTTCTTTTTTTTTCCTTTTTTTTTCTATTGACATCATTAATGATGCCAGCACATTTGGGAATAGGATGTGCTAGTTCACATTTGAGGACATGTCTTCTAGCTGAAGAAGTTTGTAGAGCTGTATACAAGAAGGAACTACCTTTAGGAGTTCTAAAAATGTCTTTAACAAAACATTACTCTTTTTTGAAAATAAAATGAATATTTATAATCCCAATAAAGATTCTCTACTAGATTTTATGTTAGATTTTATTTTGCTATATTGTCTTTCTTCAGTATAATTTGGATCCATTTATATTCCTTGAATTTCCTTCAAAATATTTATCTAGCTAATGAAGTAAGAATCTAGACTTAAATGCTTCTGTATTGCCAAGAGTGAAACATCTACTGATTTCAGTACGACCTACAAGAAACCTTTTCTATTTTGTAAGCAATTTTTAAAACTATGTTTCTTTTATTTTTGGCCAGGATTTAAAACTTCTGAAACATAGGCAAGTCTTCAGTAACAAAAATACAGAAAAATGCATTTTTAAACTTCAGAAGAGCAATATATTTTTCATAGTTCATATAGAAGAAAAAAATTCAACAGATAATAGCAGTTTATGTTCTTTGTTGTGAACTGGCTGGGTTGAAATTGGTTATACCAATGAAAAACAGTACAGAAAAACATTTAAAAGGCCTGTTTCAAGTGGAGAAAGATTTGTTCTACGTGTAATCTGCAAATGGAAGGAATAAGCCTGTCTGCTTTTATATCTAGTGCAACCATCAAGTCAACTGTGAACATTTTTGAAATCATTTGAATTAAGAACTATCCAATTTTGATTTCCTAAAAGCAGAAAGCTTAGGAAAAGGAGCTATACAATTTTTTAAAGACCTGCTCAATTCATCTTCTATTTATCTTCTATTAAGAAATGGAAACAATCCAAATTGTTGGCATTAAAAGTATTTTACAGTATATAAACAAAATTTGTCCTGTGTATTTTCCCTTAATGAGTACTCCTGAAAAGCAGCAATACATGGAATTTTGTTGTTGCAGGTGGTGTGATCAGTAAACTTACTATATAGCCCCTGAACACCGATCTTGCAGCCGAAGTCACTGTAGTGTCTGCAGAGGAGACCCGTAGCAGAAAGATTTGCTTTTTGGTGGGGTACGCTAGTCCGAAAGGTGCTGAAATGCTCATACCCACAGCTGGGGGTAGGTTTTGGCACCCCGTTTCTCTCTTGCACAGGTTAACACCAAGGCTTCTGCAGAGCCCGGGGCGCCCCAGGCAGCGCTGGCCTGGGAGCGGCAGCGCTCGCGGCTCCTTCCCGGGCCGGTTCTCATCCTCACGCCGAGCCCTTCGCTCTCACGTGGGTGACGTGTTCCATGAGCGGCGCCGGTGCCAGGGCGTGCAGCCCGCCTGGGCCTTTCGGCTTGCGCTGCCTTGAATTTTACACAGTCTCCTCATTAGTGGTACCCAGGCCGCGGCTTGATTTTTAAACAGGGATGACAATTTGAAGCTGTAGAATATGGCAAAGGTAGAAGCAGCCCATCCTGGTCGCTTAAAAAGCCTTGTCTGGATACTTAGCATTTCTAAAGGTACTTTCCTACTCTGCTTTCAAGGAATACGTGTTTGCTTGTTTATGATTTCAGATCTGTTTTGTTTCAAATCAGGGAAAATTCAGTTATTTTCTGATATAATTCTGTTGAAAGTTTCCATTAAGCTTACCTGGTGTTGCTATATGATAAAAGGCGTATGGATGATGCTGTCTATGCTGTGCTGTTTAAGCTGTCCATTGAAAAACCTCACTCAAGTGCACTGCCAATTTAGCTCTTCAGAATTGGAGCATATTTTATGACTACTAGAGATTGGATTTAAGGCAACTGTAATGGATGCTTAGTTGCATGGATACATCCTTTACTGCAAGCCTATGCAACTATGTAACCTTTGCAGTGGTATTTCTAAGAAGAGGCATCTTTGTGAACACTTTACTGGAACATAACTATAAATGTTTAGACACTTGTACTGTTTTACACTTACATCAGCTTTCTGTAGAGAGAGACAGGTTTGTGAGCATTTCTAAAGCAGTACTGAATGTAATTTTGAAAAACATGGATTGTGCTTCATGACTCTTTCTTTTTAAACACACACACACAGCTAAATAGTGCCTTTTTTCCTCACAATCCATGTTGAAGATGCTCGCTCCCACTCACCCTCCGTAAATTGATTCGTTTGTGCAATACTATTCCAATTTGAAACCATTTTGTCACAGCTGTTTGAGAAATAATCTCCATTCTTCCTTACTCTGCTGCCAGCTTTCTGTTGTTGAAGTGTTTTAGTTGATTACCTAATGCAAATGCTATAAAATAAAACACCCAGTGGGAAGGGGAAAAAAGAGTCTGGTGTCCTGTCTTAATATTTGCATGTCACATTCACATTAAATGATCTTTTGCTAGAAGATGTTGATATGCAATATTCTGAACTTCATTTGCAGCTCTTGTGTTTGTGGAGGGGAGGTGAGTTGCAGTGTGATTCTTCTGTAATGATTTCAAAGAGCTATAACCAAACACAATTTATAAGCCTCTAGAATTTGCATTGGGCTTTCTAGACAGAAATGTAATATATTTACAGAGTGTATACACTGTACTGGAAGTGTTGAGGAGGAGAAAATGTTTTTTAATATTAAAACTAAGATTTGTAAGAATGAAAAATCGGCCTTAAAACAATGAATCGCTGTGCACACGTGTCTGCCTGAGAGAACAAATGACATGTGACACATTACTGTGGTACTGGAAAATGCTCTGTTACTTGTGATGAGTGTGGTGTAAGAGCTTGAGTGGAATAGAAATGTGGTTTGCAGTTGTTGTGAGTGAGAGCCTAAAGTAATACAATGCCCGGCGATGCTGGCGCGGTGCAGGCAGCTCCTCGCGCGGTCGGTGCCGGCCGTGGCGGTTTAGAACCACGTGCGGATCTTCAGCAACCTCCACGTGAGGCTGGGCTGGTCCCTAAACCCCTCTCCCTGGCAGGCAGGCGGGACGGGTGCGAGTGGGGGGTACGGACGCCAAGTCCCTCTGCTTGAAATAGCCAAGGGGGATGAGGAGAACAACGCACGGCCTGTGGAAGGGGTGCAGGAGGCTTCGGGAAGGCCGCGTGCCGCCTGCCGAAACGCTGCTGTGAGCAAAGCGGCAGCCGGAAAAGTTACAGGGCTGAAAATGTCCTATTAAAATGACAGTTGCTTCCACTGTGAAAGGGAAAGTGCTGGCACTGTTACCCATAAGTGTTAATTAGTAGTGGAATCTTTTTTTTTTAACTGATGCTGCCATAGCACAGGTAATCAATCTCTTCCGTAGCAATTAATGGGAGGAATGAGGAAGGGAAGTTATTTTTTCAAATCTAACGTTTTTTTGCAGATCTTTCACATTTTTGTTTTATTATTTATTGCGTAAATCTTGCATTTGATTTCAGTATAATTTCCTTGCTACTTAATCAAATACAAGAAGTTGCTAGTGTATGTCAAAGCAATGTCCAGGTGTTTTCTTCATGCACAAGTCCCCTGCTATGACTTCCCCCCAGCTCCATTACCACATAACACAGATGTGGCAATTTTCAATAAGAGCTAATTTAAAGGACTAATAATACTTGTTATTAAAAAAAAAAAAAAAAACTCTACAAAGAACACCTGTGGCCTAAAATGAAGGCTTTGAGACCTTTCACCTTGTCATAATAACCAACTACATTCTCATAA